CAGTCCCTCTATACAAAGAACCCCCGCCTTCTTTGGAGCGAGTTTCAGAGAGGTCGATTTGCAACCGAAAAAAAAAAATAATAAGGAAAATATAAAGACGAGCTCAGGATGAGGCCCGACAAGATGCACCCGAGGAATGAATCGATCCAAAATAGACCCTAGAAATCGGGATGCCCACGCGTTGTAAGACTTTCTATTAAGCTTGTCAGTGATCCCGCCCAGTTTGAAAACGAAGTCTGTCCGTGCCCACGTTCGGAGAACGAATCAGGGGTACCGTTGGTAGCGCGACCATTTCCTCCGTCCATTGTCGTTATATCGGTGTTTCCTTTACCAAGGGACCTTTCGGGCACGACCGACGTCGGGAGATGATCCGTGGCCTTGGACGCGGGGGCCGCGGAGCTCTTGGATGCTGCGGCGCCGACCGCATCATCTTCCGCGAAGCTCATCCCTCCGGGGCTCTTCGGCTTCATCAGCCGCCTGAGGTGGTTGCCAATGGCCGGTATCGTCGACCTGATCTGTACGTTGTTTTTCAATGGCGATTCGTTACACACCGCGGTAGTACCGGACCCCGAGAAACGGTATCTCGTGCTGCTCTCGGTATCAGCGCGAATTAACTCCGAAATTAAAGCTCGGCAAGCATCGGTGACAAATTTCTTAATAATTCTCTCAGATTGAGGTAGGGAAAATTATCGATGGAATTTAAATTGAAGGAAACTAGCACGCGAGATCGTCTCGAACCTCTAGCGGGTTTCACGGGCGAAGAGGTGAGGAGAAAAATTGAAGCCTGAAGATAACGGATAATTCGAGAAATTGGAAAGATTCCTTGAAAGAGAGATCGGATACCCGACATGTGAATGCTAATTGTTTAGCTATCGTGGAGTGGAATTTCGAGACGCTACTTAATGCATTTCCCGTTCTCGTAAATCCGAGTCCATCTCATAAATCCAATCAGTGGGAAGGGAATTAATTTGACGGTATTAATTGGTTATTAATCTTACGGCCAGTCGTATCCTTTCTAATATAACCTAACTTCTCGCGGATGAGCATAAGAAGAAGGTAAACTCGAATTTTCGTGATCGTTTAAAATAAACTGTACACATAATTTAATGGAATTCATTCTGTTCTTAAGACGCGCGTTTGTTCGGAACATCCCCTGAGACTTATCGGACGAGTTTTGTCCTATACCCTTATGATTAATTAAATAGCTTAAATCAGACCAAACCTTCGATCATCATCGTACATACTTTCTCGCCGATATGCAAAGTCAAGCTAGAAGATCCTGCCTTATCCATTAAGGGATCATTCTTCGACGGAACCGCAATTTCCAAAGGCGAACCAGGAGTCACCAATGAGACTTCCGTGTCTTGCGACTCGCTTTCCGAAGAAGATGGATCTCTTTCGTTCATCTTCGAGAAAACTGGAAGATGCTCATCGAGTCTACGTTCCTGAGACTATTCTAGGTTTCATGGTTCCGCAGTTAACTCGCGATAATTTGGACGATTTGGACTACCCGAAAAAGCTATATTTTATATGAGTTTTCATTTTTCTTTTAATGGAGGGCAATCAAGACTGTCAAAAACCCGTACGGGTTAACTTCAAGACGGTGCCACGTATTCGGACACTAACAGCGATCACTGAACCCCCTCAAAATAATGCGACGATTTAATCCTCTATAACGCCACGAGACCTTGTATTTTTCATTGTATTTATCCGAAGATACGATAAAACGTTCCTAATGAAGCTCATAAGTCTCTTATTAAGACTCGCAGTCGAGTGAAAACATAAATTACAGAATTAACTATTACTTAGAGAACACAATCCGCTCAATATTCGGCGAATATTCGATACTCGTGGAATACCGAATGTGTGGCTCCGTCTTAGCGCAAACGGTAGAAGAAGGAAATCTATTGGCAAACAGAACGTTCGTCTATATCCCGTATTTCGAGGTATCGTAATTTCCTTTGAACTTTCCCGAAATCCACTCGACACCTGAATGGTAAGCGTATTGAAGAGGTCTCGAGAAATAGCCATTCTATTTGTAGGCCAACAAGGCCGCGATCATTGCCACGGCAATATCTGAACTGGTTCCAAGAGAAACATTGAAAAAAAAAAAACAAAAAAAAAGGAAAGGAGGAAAAATAGCGACAGACTCTACGGAGTGACACTTCCGAGAGAAAATTCCATCTCATCCGATGGTGCGTCGCGACTTATCACAAAAGTGCCTCATCCAAGCTATAGGTATAGAATAGCCCGAGAAAGCGAGTGCCTTCGTCTCTTTCCGCTCTGCCCGGAGGAAATTTCATCCCATCGCACCGGAGCACTTTCAACGGCTCGAAATTTACAATGTACGGTTAACGTCCCGACGACGATCAAATTGACCCAAATATTGTCCGCAAAAATGCAAGGCATGCCCCTCTTCGGTCTGTCTTCTGACGGAGACTCCGTCTTTGTTCTCGTTCCGTACGAGACGCCATCTCCAACCAAGCGATGCTCCGAAAAAGCCTTATCCATAAACTCGTAAATTTTTGCTCGCCCAAGCGAAGTGCAAAAAGAATAAACGACATATTAATTTAAAGAGAACGAGTCCACGATCAGGAAACTCTATAGAGTTTCGCGCCAAATACATATAAGTAGCGTGCGCGATAAAAAAAAAAAAAAAGAATTGAAAACCCTTTTTAAATCGACGAAATGGCGCCGATTTGAAGTTTAGTGAAATTTCGGTGCACCGGGTTTCAAAAGTATTTCACATCTTGCAGACCTACTATCTGGCAATCAAATAGGGACGTTCGTTTAAAAATTAACATCATTCCAAGTAATATTCGAGATGAAAAATATTAAGACCTATTTCGGGGAACAAAAATTCCAATGAATATCCGTGACTTTTTAAAACGCCTAGGTCAACTGTTTCAGAACGGTGACGAAGTTATCGAAAACGCGAAAAAAAAAAGAAAAGAAAAAGAGTGAAGGCTAATAGCCCGATTCGGGAAAAGGTACAAGGTAAAGGACACAACTCTCCCGTGTCTTTTCCCTTCCTTTATAAAGCGAAGAACAAGACAAACGCGAGAAACTCGATGGCTCTAATTGTGGATATCCTTCGCGTTAATGACGAAGTGTGCGGAAAGCAATTTTCCAGCACGCGTTCGAGTTCTCTTTTTCCCTCACAATGGCTCGCTAATTTCGATTTCTAGTCATCGGAAGACGCCAGGAAGCGGCCGGAAATCCGGCTTCCGCGGTCGCCGCGATTTAAGGCGGTAAAAAAATCATAGACAACTTGCTTCCCTGTATTCATGAGTGGGAGTCAATGAACACCGTTCCGCGACTGCACATTACCCTTACCTCGGTAAAATGGCCGTTCTGATCAGTTCTGAGATCTCCCTGTTAGCGGTCTCACGTGCAGTGCATAAATCCGCGATGCATCATACTAATTGACACGAGCCTTCATTCTGATATCACGCGAAATCGTATGATTACAATGTGTGCTTTAACTTTCAACGGAACTCGAACCTTGGCACGAGACACCGATCAGTCTCCATTAGACCTGCCGATTCCGCTTAAACATTCATATACCAATACTTCACGATAAAAAGAATCTGGAATAAAAATAATAATTTTAATATAACGTTTTCCCTAATTCAATCGTCGCTTTTTATTACATTGAAAATATTTTCAACTGAAACAGTAAAATTTTGTTGGTTCAACCACAGATTATGGTTACTGCGGGCATAACCAAATATTTCGTGGACACGACGAATTTTTTAATTAACACGTTCCATACCACGCGGGACGCAAACGCACGTGTATACGATTATCGCTAATTTTAGCATTGACCCCAAGGGTCGAGCTTTCGTTGAAAGATAATAATGTTTCTTGTCGCAGGTTATCGAGTGTACGGTAAAAGGCAAGACAGGCAGTTTAGGCGAAACCAGAGCGGAACTACTTCTTGTTTTTTTTCCCCTTTTTTCTTTTCGGAGCAGCTCCAATTACTATTCGGCAAGACATAATTACTATTCCAAGAGCCGCGTTCGGTACCGATTAGTCGACTCGCACGAAGGAATTCGACGATTAGCGAAACCTCTGTTCGCGAGAACAATTACTGACACTGTAGAGACCTTCCAGGTCCATTCGACCCGAGGCCCATTTTGCTCGAATTGTCATAATGCCTCCTGGGTCACTGGATCGGTGAAAGGTAACTGGAGTACCGCGGAAAATACCCAGTCATTCGTCATCGGTCGCCATTAAAGGGAACGCTTTCGAGTGCAATCGCAATAAACGGTCAGGCCTAGATGCCAGCAAATTCTCCGTGCAGTCGCGAGAATAATGCCCGGCGTCTCTCCGCGTATACTGGGTGTCTTTAAAACAGGTCGACAAATATTAGGATCGTGCTCGAGTCGTCTTGTTACGCTGTACAAAGTGTTCCGACATCGGGAACGCTTTTCGAGTAGAAGCGTTTACCGAAACCAGAAACAGCGAAACTCGGAATGAAAATAACTGACAAATACATGCTACATTTAGAAGAGTACCATTTCTACGGAAGAATTCGTTAAAAAGCATTCAATATTTCTCAACAATACGGTAAGGTAAAAAATGAAACTGCAACGCGCTATTCTCAAAATACATCTAGTCGGGTACGCGATCAGCAGTCAGGACGTAGCAGTATACGAGTTTACGTGCACGAGTCTTATGATAGTAGTACGATAGACGCATGTAATTGAAAATTAGAATACATAACATTCCAAGTGTCGAAGCATTTTCAACGGCGCGATTCCCGTGGTCGTGTTGAGGTTAGGTTCTCGAAGCGACGTTGGGTCAGGTCAGGGCGGACAAGATCGAGTCGCCGGTCGTCCCCTCGCGAATCGGGGATTCCCTCGAGAGCCGTCATCTCCCAGGTCCTCTCCCCGCTTCCCCGGGCGCCGAGGCGGGGGGGCCTTGGAAGATGTCGGCGTCCTCGCCGCGGCAATCGATAGGGCGGCCGGGCCGCTCCTCGGGTCGGAGGTACTTACCGGGTATGCGTAGGGCGTGCAGGGAACGTAGAATTCTCTGCTCATAATAAAGGTCCACCCCCGTTGCGCCGTCCGCGAAAAATCCAGCTGACGCGGTCACCAGGCCGCGGGCGGTCGGGGATCGGTCAGAGCGCGACCGGCGCCGCCGCCGTCGCCGCCGGTGGCGCCATCTCGCGGTCGAGCGAAGGTCGCCAAGCTGTCACGAGGCGAATCTCTGGGTCCCCGTGCACCTCGGCATTACGCCCGGGCCGGACCGCGCGACAAACCTCCTCCGGATGGCAGAGCCACTTGTCACGCGTGGCAGCAGAGCGCCACGAGGATCGAGGAGGAGCTCGGCTTCCGAAGATCCGCGCACTCCGAAGCCTGGCCGAGCCGACGGCTTCGGTTACTCACCGACGATCTGCGCCGCGTCGCGACCCTCCGACTGCGGATTCACCCGGGCTGATGCAAATCCTCGCGCGCGCTTACCGAACCGAGTCGCGGTCGCTACGCCATTTTAATCCGCACGCTCGTTCCTTGGCCGAGTCACGTCCGCGCACGACGTCGAGATGCCACCACGCTAATCCACTGGCCACTGCCGACTGTCGCCGACCGTGTGCTCCGACTGCCGTCCTTGCTGACGGCACGGCCTGTGCTCGCCGCCGTGCCATCTATCGGCGCAAAGACGAACCACCTTTACGAGGCGCCGATATCGGTCTACGGTATTCTACTGATACTCTAATCCAGGAGAAGAACGCGATTCGATTGGCAGTTGATAATTGGGCTAGAAAGCGTTGAATTTGTCGAGATGAAAATTAAATTATGCACCCCCGTTAGAAAATGACTAGTTAGAATCTTAAATTGAATATTAAGTAAAATTCGAAAATTCTTGACAAAATTAAATACATTAAATAGGCGAGCGCAATACGGAAAATTATCGCATTGTACCGATAGTCCGAGAAGTCATTGAGGTTTTGTGAATATTGGTAATCGACATTTATTACGAAAGTTTCACTAATGCGCTCACTAATGCCTATCTATGAAGGTTTTAATGCATAATTGGTGTAAACGAGGGCGTCTTTTGTTAACGCCTCATTCTTAGACAGCAAGGCTGTTGGCAACCCATCCCGTCTGCCGATCGCGGGGGGAGTTGATTTGAGGGATGTTTCTTTTTCTTCGTCGTCGCTATCACTATGCCCGATGGTATCAGAATATCGTTCCATGGGATCTCTATATCGTCCGGCTCGCACGGCTCCTCTTTAGGAGGTGGCTGTATGATGATCGGCTCGTCCAAAGAAAGATCCTTCCAAGGAATTTCCAAAGTAGAGTCACACTTTTCGGTATCCACCTTATCCACTCGGGCGGTGTCAGGGATCAGCAGAAAATTCCACGGCAACTGCATCTTGCCTAGAGACTCTTTTTGTTCCGGCGCATCGCCGTCGTCCTGCATAGCGGCTTCCTGAATCTGTTCTTCCGATGTGGTCTCGGGTCGAATTTTCATCGCTACAGCCGGCAGGGCGATGTCCTTCCAAGGCAGCTCGATCTTTGAGTCACACGGAATTGATATCTGCGAAAATTCTTTTCGCAAACAGTGCATATAGGGTTCATGCCACATTTCTTCTTCCGGGTTAAAAACGAACGTCTGCCTCTTCCTTTTATACTTATCCTTCGTTGCCTTCTTTTCTATGCGATCTCGGTTTTTCAAGCATTGACATATGTTGCGCTTCCTCTTGTCACCCATTTCGCTTGTACGTTTTGGTACTTGTAAATTTTTTTATATTATGACAGCCCGAAGGTTACCATATAAGGGTTATCCTCCTGGTATGCTGATCGATTTTGTTCTGCAATATTCGAATGCCACCTCGATAATCATTGGTGGCTTTGCCTGATATGTTTGTGATCGAGGAGAATTTGGTAATATAACAGTTCCCATATAGAGTTCTAAACGCGGTCAATGCGAGACCTATATATTTATATAATAGTAAAAACTTTTAATCTGCTCCTGCGGTAATGCGGTTGCTTTGCAACTATCTCGTATTCATATTATTCATATCAATGCGGAACCCTCATGGAAGTAAGAATATAAGGAGCCCAAAGTCCCATCTTAGACGTTTGGGTTCCGTCCATATATTCTTAAGTCAATGGTTATACTCACAGAAATATTTATCTACACAGAAATGAGGAGAATCTCTGAATTGGGCCGCCATTGGGGGGTATCAAGTGGCAAGTGCGTTAGCTGTCCACATTCTTCACATGAAGGCAGCACAGGACGCGAACGTGCGGCGGGCCCGGGACGAAGTCCGGCCATCGACCACCAGGGGCGTCGCGTGCGTCGAGCGCGATGCGTTCAGGACGGGGCACTCTGCGTTACCCCGCGTGCACAATACTTTACTTACCTCGAACCAAAAGACGACTACGTCATAAAATGTTTTAAAACGATTGAAAATCAAGAAGAAGACTTTGTGACCAATTCTAGAGCATACGTGGAAATCCGCTCCTTTTTCTGTGATAATAAAGCAATAACTATAAATAAAGTGGTAAAATATATTTGACAATCCCCACAATCGCGCGACCCTGCCCGTGAGCAATCTCCCAACTCATCTCTGCTCCCAATTGATTACCGATGTTCTGACAAAACTATATCTCACAGTTAGTAGCGCCAGGAAATGAGAACTATTCTCATGTGCATGTATTCTATTCGCATCTTCATGTCCTTTAGTGCATTTTTGGGGACTGCAGGGATGGTAATTCATTAGTAATAATATTTTATTATTTTACTTCGCAATTCTGACGTATTGTATAAAGTATGAGTAGCGGTACAGAAAAAGACATATATGGTGTAAAATCACCGGTTATTTGTTCCACTTGCGTGTCGATTTCCTTCCGCCATCTGGACGGAGAAGCTTGAACCAAAATTCCACCATACGGTGGAATCGTCGATAAAAGGAAATCCGTAGTGACTTCCAACCTGAATTCAAGCTCAAGGCTTGGATGATATAATACGCTAAACGAAGTTCTAAGAAACCGTTATCACGATAAATCTTTTTCTGAAGCCGAGATATTAATTTCTAGTCAGTTGATATTCTACAGTCGGAGAAGGTTTACTTCGAGGAAGGCCATTGGGCTCCGGGCTGAATCACGTAGTGGAACGACGTTTAGAAAGCAGCCATCTTGCAATCCCTAATCAAAGATCTTTGGCTAGCGAGTTTCGTTGCCTGGTTTTCGGGTAGTTAATATCAACACACAGTCCATCAAATGGCTTTAAAACGAATTAACAAGGTACGTGAAGGACAGTTAGCGTCGAAACTTGTCGGGGTCCGTCGGGTGTCGATGTGGCGTGTGTCCAGTTCGGTTGAACGCCCTTAACGATTTTGCAGTGTAGCAATGTGAGACCTGCATTGAAAATCATGTTGGCTTTTAGCCCCTTTTTTTGCATACCGCCGAGTTTTGTACGCTCCTCCTAAAATCGCTTATCTTTCGGGAAAACAGGACTCGCGTCCTCGAAGCGCCTACCTCCTGTCACTCGTCATGCCCAAGGTGACAGTGAAATCACGAAAAATTCACTGAGGTTGTCCGATAAATAGCCGGAAGTAACGTAAAACCGTGGGTTACATATATCTATATATATACACGATCGGGTCTATAGATAACTTGAAAATCACTGAAATTTCCTTGGAGCATTCTCTTCTGTACAAATTCTTGCTAGGAGCTGATTTCTTATCGATCTATCGGGGAAAGTTTTGTCGATGAGCTTTGCAGCATTTAGTCTTCGTAGTTGTCGACTAATTGAAACGAGTCGATTGTGACTCCATTTTCATGCCTAATGCTTCTGAACAGCTATTTGTACAATTTGTTAAAAGTTTATCCTGTTCTTTGTGTATATTTATATAGTAGTTATTAAAGGTTGAGCGAGCATTTTGAAGTTTGATAAACCGAAGAATGACTTTATAGAAATGAGTAATGTCACGTTTTACCATTTGCTGGTAACATAAGTGGAAGGACAAGGTATTTTAATTTGTTTAATTAGTATTTCCATAAATTTTATGCAATCTGGGCCTATATCGCTTCATAGCATTGTGATAAAGATCATCTACTATATGCTGTATGTTAATGACTGCTCAATTGATCAACTTTGAGCAATCACATGACAGTTTTCTACTTTAGACGAGTCATAGTTTGGTAGTGACTAACGACATGTATTCACGGCGTACACTTGTAGAAAGTGTTAAAATCGTAAGATATTTGATTTCAAAATATTGATTTCATCTAATATAAAGTACATCCCTTTTTTACCTGAATGATTATTGATTTTTTGTCCAATACTTTCAAAACTACAATTAGTAGTGACTATAAACCATGTTATATGCTTGACGTATATTTTCAAATCATCACTCTGTACAGTTTTTTTTTTATCTGTGTAATGATACATTAAACTTAATAAATTTTGTTAATTCATTCTTGATAGAAGATGTTATACTTGTAAATATTATTTAGTAATCAACGTAAATGATGTAACACACCAATAGCTTATAGAGAAGTAAAATTGAACGGTATGAAATATAAATTTCTAGTGAAATTCTGTTCATTAACAATGTTTTCAGCAACGTAAAGTTTATTTAATTAAATCTTTATTCTTTTTGTATTTGTCTTGTGATAATTATTTATTTTGCATATAATAACGTAAACCCTTGTGTTCTTAAAGGAACTTCAGGATCTTGGAAGGGATCCCCCCGCACAGTGTTCGGCTGGTCCTGTAGGAGATGATTGTAAGTTTTGTGATATATTTCTATTTTTTACCGTTCCGTTGATCATTATTTTCATGATATCCATTCTCACACCGAAAAAATGTTATTTCCCACTCCCTATTATACTCCTTTATTAAGTGTATAAAGCCGCTAGTATATACAAATGATGTTGACCTTAAGCCAAAATAAATTTTTCAGTTAACTTATCACACCTCAGGTAGCATTTTGTAAACTTGCTATACGATACAAGAAAAATATCTTTATACGTCATAAATTATTATTGCCTTAATTAATACATAATGATATGGAATGATAAGTCATCCTGTCGTTCATACTATCACAATAATTTGTCAAGTGGAAGTCGATATTATGAATCCTCTGTATTCTGTTTATAAATGATAAGTGATTATCGTATGCTTCATACTCATGACCGTATTTTCTTTTAGTATTCCATTGGCAGGCCACTATTATGGGACCAGTGAGTATATTGCTTAATAAAACATTTAGTAGCCATGAGAATGTATTATGTATCCACTGTTAGAAGTCTAATAACGAAAATTGTAAAAATAGAATTGACGCGTGTAGAATAAACCCACATTGTTTTGTATCTGGTCTAGAAAATGTAAAAATTTCTTGACTGAATGACAATGAGAATATTTATTGCTACAGCTAGTTGTATCGTTATCAATACAATGTTGAAATTTCTAGAATGTACGTAATATAACTCTCTTTTTTGCATTTTTAGCCTGACAGTCCATACCAAGGAGGAGTATTTTTCCTAACTATTCACTTCCCAACAGACTATCCCTTTAAACCCCCGAAGGTACGTTTAATTTATACTGTCTTATAAAATTTGTACACATAATGATGTTCATCTAATATTTTCTGTCCAGGTTGCTTTCACAACCAGAATTTATCACCCTAATATTAATAGTAACGGAAGTATTTGTTTGGACATACTAAGATCGCAATGGTCTCCAGCTCTTACTATTTCAAAAGGTATGTACATTTTTTTTGCTACAATATGTTCTTAAAGTCATTTCTAGTGAAGTTATCTTGCTTCGTATCAGCATGCATTTTCTTAAAAGTTATTTTATAAATCGCTTCTGCTCGGTGCTTGGAAGATGTGTTGACATATAAATGTCTATACGATCATTAATTGTCGAAAATTAATTGAAATCAGGATACTCCCAGTCTTTCATAAAATAATAACCATTTGTGTCATTCAAACTTGCACGATAGAAAGGCATTCACAATACGAGTGAATAAATTAAATTGTTCATCCGTCGTTAGCGCGATTCATCAACGTACTACATTGTCTCTTATTCTTTCTACCGTGCAATAAGTCTTAAACACTCTTCTGCTTATACATCGTACGATAACGGAAGGTCAAGGGTGATCGTGTCCAAAGAGAATTGTACAAAGCCAGAGGACCGCTCGTCTGTTGGACACGATCTATGTTGTAAAGAACCGGTCATGGAACGGGGAACACTTTTGACATGTTTCCAGTGTTACTGTCAATATGCTCTCTACTGTGCGACCCAAACCCAGATGACCCTCTGGTGCCCGAAATAGCAAGGATATACAAAACTGACAGGGAGAAATACAACGAATTGGCACGCGAGTGGACGCGTAAATATGCCATGTGATGCGCCAATCTCTGTTGACTTCAAGATCCGAACACCACCTCTATCAGCAAGCAGCCCCAGCCTAATGCCACTTATCGATCAGCACCGATTCAATCTAGCTATGGCTCGTCTGTTTTTAAAGTTACGCCGCAACTCGGGCCCGTAGAGCACTCGGGCAAGTCGCGATCAAACGGAAGTTCCCTCCGGCCTGGGTAGCCCGGGTAGCCCTGCGAGTGTTAAGACGGCGCCAGGTTGGCAATCGAGGCAATTTTAACGGTGGTCACACGACATTATATATAAATATATATATAAATATATAAATATATACGAATCAAGAGAAAAAAAAAAAAGAACAACCAGAAACAGACATGTCCGCTTTGATTTTCATAAATAAACTGAAATTAAGGTATTCCTAGGTGAGTGAAGGTAGGATTTGTATTCCGACTTAATAACCGTTCGTTTCTATCGATTGTGCTTACGACACTAATAGAGAGTACCTACTTTCCCGGCGAAGAGAGGTCGAAAGAAAAGGAGGGGAAATATGTTAAAAGGAAACCCCGAGAACCGGCAACGTAACGACTTGTTAGTTTTAAACGTAACCGAGCGATCTTTGCCCGTCCCTTGATACGATGCGGTCACTCTTTTGTAAGACTGGGCTCGATATAAATACTACTGAAACTGTACCTATACGATTTGTTTGATTATTGAAAATCCTCACCCGTCTGACGGAATTAACGCGTAACACCCCTTTGGGAAAGGCTCGCGGTGTTAGAGATTTAATTGTTATCGTTTTTAAGGCGGCGGCTGCGCGATTATGATTTAACTTGTGTACGATCTGGCGGAGGTGTTACGTATTTTTCTTGTTTTACCGGGAAGATCGCGATGACGTTACTCGGTGTTTTGTCATAAGGGAAACCTAGCTCAGTTAGGATTACATTTATAACATAATTGAGTCGTGGCCGTTAAAGCGGGGCTGGACATCTCGATGTTTGCCCCATACGTTTGCCATCCAAGACTGATCAGTGAAAAGCGCAAGCGTTTTGCGAAATTCCACTTTAGGGTGTCCAGGTGGATCGGTGGTTTGTTGAGTCGCAGTAACGGGTCCGATTTGTTCGCATATATGTCCCTGACGAGTACTTTTTATGAACAGGAGCAAGTCGCGTTCATGTCAGCCTGGTGTCTCGCTGCTAGCTCGTTTCATGAGCAATTGTAACAATTGCTGCCGATGAAGCGCGCTGGTGGTCAGATATGCGAATTATTGAAATCGACGTTTCAACCTAGCCCCACCTATGAAACTACCTGTTAGGAAAATGTTTAAAACTATGTCCACATTGGAGTAACATTTATCGTTAATCGTATGGAAACGGAACGTGCAGAAACATCGGTATTATTTCTTGTAGGGGTTGCGAGCGAATACTATCTCGCGAAAGAGTAACCAACAGGAGTATTATCGGGAATACACCTTGGAAGGAAAATTATGAACGGAATTAAAATTAAGATATCTTTACAACCAATGATCGTTTAAGTCTCGAGTCGTTTCGTGGCCAGGCGTTTAAATATTATATCAATAAAAATGTAAGACCGTGAAGGAAAATTAATGTCGAATAAAGTAAATGGTTCTCCGATGTGGATATAGCATTAGCGGTAGGAACTTTTATGGAAACTATTGCGAAAACGTGCCGCGGTGGCAGATTAGTGAAAAACGTCACTTTTTGCGGTTACGAGGAGGGAGTCGAATTGGACTCCGCATTGAAGACAATTCGAGGAACTAGAAGTCGAAAAGTGCTTCTTCGGGCTCCGTATCCGCGAGGACCTCTCCCTGGGGATAATTTGCATCAACAGCGAACATGTTAGTGTATCTTATACGTCGTTCAGGGACAGATGAGTTCCCATTTGGCAGAGGAACCCCGCGGATACGACCGCTGAGTCCAAATAGTGGATTGCTAGTTGCGCTAATACATGTAAATTAGCGTCGAGTCCAGCGAGTCAGGAACTCGCCGGTTGCAAACGATCATCTTTCAATTGCTTTCTCTACGTTAAGCGTGCGAAACCTCTATACTTTCAATGGGCCCCTTAACAGTTTGTAGTCCCACTCCTCGATTAAGCCCTTTCATCCACAATATTAGGTGAAGGAGCACTCGCGGCGTGCAAGAAAAAAAACGGCGGCACGGTCGACGGTACACAGGCCTCTCGTCATTTTAATTGTCAGATCTTCTCAACCTTTGTATTTCGCAATATATTGTGGTTGTAAAGGATCATTCCTGTACTCTCGATTAATTCCCGAACACCTGAGGTAGAGTTGTAAGAAGCGATTGTAAGGACGAAGGGACGACCCTTTGGAAGAGATTTTCGGCAAGATCTCGGTCTTTGCGAATCCTGATTTCGGATTTCCGATTGCACTTTTCGCGGATCCGACTCGCCGTGGCGGATGGTCACTTCATTAAGATTATAAGTCGTGGATTTTGATGTCGGAGGTTTTTACGGAAGTTGCCTCGACAGCGAGCGTACCTTCGGTCGGTGCTTTACGATTGGCAAGCTGGTGGACGAGATGCGGATCTAGAAAGGACTAAAATTGTCTAAAGTGTAAAGCGGGTGGTTCGGCGGTGCCGACTTTGCCTCACACGTACGAGCGTTGTATTACTGTAATTTAATTGCGAGCAAACGCGGCGGCATGGGTATTTAAACCTTTTTTTTTTCTCTCCCCCCGATTACTCGTCGTTCACCATTTATTAGAGAATGAATTATTCATGTGTAATTATTATTAATATCGCAATAATGAACATTTTTCATAACTTATCTTGTGTACATTTTAGTGTTAGTCCTTTATACAATAAAGTCCACGTAACGGCCAAGACGTTTCACTCCCTATCCGCAGGAATATCAGAATCTCGCGTCAAGTGATGTTTATAAAACGCAATCCGATTTCATAATTATTTACTAATTACCTATGTGATGTCTTTCTTGATCTGCGAATACGCACTCAATAAAAAAAGAACAGTTCGCTAGTAATTACATAAACATTCGGCGTAAAGACGAGTGAGTATTACTTTACCCTTATAGGCAAAGGAACGATGGACTCTTTGGAAACATAAAATACGAATAAACGTTTATAGCATCATAATGCGGTAACAAGTCTTCAAAACATCCTTAAACTGATCGCAAAACCGCGCATTAACTGCTTCTATGCCGTAACGTGGAAACCATTCCGATGGACGTAGGCCTTTTCGAAAAATGATAACGCTATCAACGTTTAAAGAACACATTTATAACCAACTATTGCACTTTTCCATTTCAGTCAAACTATTGCGTATGCATATTTATATACTTTCCAACTCTGTCTAGAACAAGCGTGTAATTGTAAGTTATGTAAATCGGCTCGAAACTTTGTCTCTAGTTTGCCGCGCAAACGTTTCTTCAGTCACTGACGCCAATGTTAATGGACAGGTTAAGCGAGATTTTTTGTCGAGCGTCGCGCATTCGACGTTTCTTGGGAAAAAGGTATTTGCGCATATTATTGCTGCCGGGTGAGAGCGAAAGAATGGACGCGCGATGGCCGCAAGTGGAAGCGGCCAGCAGCGAGGAGAAGCGAGTATACGCAAAAGTATACGCGGTGAGAGTGATGACGAGGTCGATCTCCTTCCCCTCCCTCCCCCCTGCAGTCTTCGCGGAATCGCAACCTGGGGATAGTCTCGACTGTCAGGTGGGACCATCCTCCAGGTGCGCGTAGGTACCAAACGCGACCAGGTACAGAGCCGGTCATTAATGCTCTATCGTACCCCTGGGCACACCTTCCTCCACCAGGAGTGCACCTGCCGCTGGGCCCTTCTCTAATCCTTAACCATTTGGGGTATCGCCCTGTAATGCCATAATGTACTTTGACTTCCATCCCGGGGTAATTAATGATCGGAAGCAGAGAATTCGTTAAAGAAGACGATGTTTCTTTATAATGAATTTTCTTTTTCTACGAGTAAAAGTTGTAATTTCTGAATATCATTGTACCTCTACAGGCATTCGTAGGTTTATCTAGAGCATGGGTTTAAGGTAACATGAAAGGGTCATTATATATGTATATATAATAACGTCAAAATATAAAACTTTTCTCCAAACCGGATGCACCGAATCGTAGGAAACTTCAACAAATGATTATGGAGGCCCTAAGGAAGAACACGGTGCTCGTGAAATTTCGTTTTCGATAAAAAAAAACTTTTTTTTGTTTAGCAAATAGTATCAGTTTTTAAATTTCTGTACCGAGTCGTATCTCCCACCCGAGCTGTTTGGAGGTATGGTATACCTTAGATGATCACCTCTGTACGTTCAGAGCATGTAGACTCGTACTGTGACTTAGGTTCCACGACTCCGCGAACTGGTCAACAGCTGGCCGGCGAAAGAGACGCTCGACGTCGTCCAGTGTCGACGCCGCCTTCGACTCGTTCGGATATGCTTACGCGGTGCCGGTGCGTTGTAACCGCGTGGTGTATGCGAGCCTTCCAGTAGACATTCAGGAAAAGTAACGAGAAATAAGGAAACAAGGACCTTCGGGATTTCATTCCACGGCAGGCCCTGCGAAGCAATTTTGCTCCTCCGAGGTAAGCTTCAAACTAATTACCCTGACAAGTAATGAGACCCGAGGTTAGTGACCGTCTCCAGCAATCACGGTTGTCAATGTAATCCATTCCTAACAATTAGCAATGGAAAGTAAAAGGAGAAAAAATATATGTTCGCTTAATTGGAAGGGCAGAAAACGCAGTTATTAAAATATTTTCATCGGCTTTTTATCAATCACTCGATGGCATGTAGGGTAAGTACTGAAACTTTGTCTTGCCTTGTTTACGAATAAATTCTTTTACATGAAATTTAACTTTCGAAGGTACACCGTTTTCATTTGGTCACAGGGCCGTCTATGAACTTTTCTATTGTTATGAAGATGTGCTTATCTTTTCAAGACGTGTCGTTAAGGTATGCGTTATTAATGGTATGAATTGCAGATGAATTCTCCTGTCAAACATGTAGATCCTGCTAAAGCGAAGCAATAAATTGATTTTCATGGTGGAATTTTAATCTCATTTTTTTTTAAACTGTGGCAGAGATTTTTCCAATTTGTAACATAATCATGTCCTGTGCACCAAAAAATTGTTCCCTTCGGCTCGGGAATTTCCGAACATTATTCGTCCGTTCCAGAAGTAATCCTATAACCGGTATAATGGAATTATTTGCTGCAAATCTAATGGCTTGGTTCCACCGAAATGGATTAAATCATTGATCATTAAATCTATTTTTACAGTAAACCCAATAGTTGTTGTAACCGAGGGTTAACTTGTTAATCAAGGTTTGCGGAATCGGGCCTAAAAATATGTTTTCTCAACTTCGTCGAGAAATTTAATGCTTTACTGGAACGAAACATTCTCGGCGACGCTCGATTTTGAACGGTCAGCATACCTTGAAGAATGACTTTGCTTCTCCAAACTTTCACGTAAATTGGACACGAGAGATCTGCTCGAGGAGGGAGAGAGTGATCTGATATCTAGCAACGAAGAAAAGGGGCGACTAGGTCATTATGAGATACATGCGTGTGTGCATAAACATGTCATTAATATAATAGAAGAAACTACTAATGTCTAAAATATCCAAAACAATACTAACGGCACGGACAGCTTTGGAAATAACATTTAATATTTGCAAGGCTTGTAATATTTCTATTTTATTTATTCAGTTCATTAGAAAGTACATTTGAAGGTTCTTTGACGAACTTTTTTTTTTCTCATGTTAAGCACCTCTTACCGACGTAATACCGCCGAGAAAGGCTCATGTATATGAAATTATTAAATACAAACGTCGTGTGCAGTGCGATTACGTGAAGTACCGGACCCGATTCTCCGGAAAGCTTCTTTGTTACGTAGTTCTCGTAATAATGGTCTGCAGAAAACAAACATAAAGAAAGGTACAATCGTCTGGTCGATGAAATATCGACTTCTGATAAGTTTGATTAGTAATTTCAATTCGAGTTTACAATTCGGAGTTACGGAACACTTAATCACCGAACGCTATTATGTTCGTTAATCCACGATGCTGGATTTTCAACATAACAATATTAACACGTATTCTCATAGATTTGTAATTAGGAAGTATTTAAAAATCTTCCTTAAACGTTGACGCGAGAGGATGTTCATAAAATTATCAACTTCTCATGAAATTATCATCTTCCCTTATTATAGCGGCACTTCTTCGCGAGTTGAAGAGTTGTCACTCGTGAGCGAATGAAGCGATTGATAAAGTTCGTGACTTCGGAAAATCTTCCCATAAATTTATAACCAGGAAGTATTTTAAAACCGTCCTTAAATATTGACACGAGATAGAATTTATAAAACTATCGGCGTCACGTTCTCTTAATCGCATTTATTCATGAGTTGAGGAGCTATCACTCGTGAACGCAGGAAGCATTTGATAAGGCTCGTGATTTCGAGCGATTATTGATGCGACAATGAAGTAATCCGTCCTGAATGGAAAGAGACGATTTAAATTATCATTCGAGAGCACCTCAGATGCGGTACGCGCCACTACGAGATAGCTTGCAGAAATAACATAAGCAGAAGTAACACAACACATCGATAACACAAGATGAACCTGAAATCGATAAAGCACGCTTTAAATCTCTCTTATAATTTCGATAACGCATAGTATCAAGGATTTTGATTAAGTATATCGCTCACTGTATTTTAAACAAAATTTAGATGCTGGATTCAACCGACATCGCGAGTTTTGTACATGCAGATCTCGCGTTATGCGATGATCCATCATATGAAATCGTTACGTAACAAGGAGTGGAAATAACGTTGCAAAATTGTAGGAGTTGGGGAGGATTTGCAATTAGTGCGTAATTATCCTGGCAATTGGGTAGAATTGGATAAAATTGGATAAAAAGAGAGATCCTTGGTGGACGTCATTAGTAGGTCGTGACATTTTCTCTGTACAGAAGTGATCTTCTGATCGTATTAAAAATCCTAGGTGCAGCACCCGGAGATTATCAGTCCCAATGATGAAATTACTGGCTGGCGTGGAGGAGGTGAGCAACGAAAGTTCCGCTGAATCCTCAAATGGCCACTCTCTCAATGGAAACTCTCACCAGAAGCAAGTCTCCCAACTGGGACAAGAAAACACCAGGCCACTTATTGTCAAGGTCAGTGAACAGAAGTAACGCTAAATATCTATCTTACAATGTAAAATGGTTTACAAGTTTATCATTATAAATTATGATAAGTATAATATCGAGTAAAGTGCAATTAATACCCTTTCCCCTGCCACTTAAAGCGAACGTAAGGATCGAATTGCGGTATTTTGCATGAGTATTTTGTCATTTACTTTTCTAATCGACAGCGGAAAGAAATACTTAACATTTTTTTTATAACCTGTAGATAGTAATCGATCGATCGATTTATGTGCGTAATGTTCGATTTTAATTCAAGGTGCGATATTTCCTGAGAAAGCGTTCAAGTATAGTCGAGGAAAAACCGAGTTCTGCTGCTTAACTCGAACATCCGGAAATTAAAGCGTTTCTAGGCGGCAGAGGAAAGTTATGTTCTCCATAAATCAGAAAGTGCGAAAACGTAAACTACATTTTTATCGCCTCAGAGCACGAAATGATGCACGTTTTTAATTGATTCCGTGATGAAGAGTTTGTGTATGTTTAGGAAGGAAGGTAAAGGTGAACTTGCTACCTGACCATTTTCCACGTTTTTTTCAACACTTCCGTGGAGACAAAACTGAAATTAATTTACACGTTAATCGTAAATAGCGAGGCAAATATATGGAAAATCCCAGCTAAAAAATATAACACCAGAGCTAGGTACTTAAGTTGCTTAACTACTAACGCAACGCAGAAATTACGGTATTTATGCTAACCAATGATCTTAAATTCCATTTATTTATTTCTTCGAGAAAATTAAGCCGTCCGCAATGGACATTATGAAAATTTATTCAAAGCAAAGTGACCCACAGGTTCGGAATACAATAGGAGCGAAGAAATAATCCGCGACGTCTTGAAATGCAGATCAACCAGGAAATCGATTTCCGTTAACAATTGCATGTTTTTAAATCAACTTGTATTGAAAGAATGTTAAGTAAATGCTCGTCAGTTGTTGGACAATTAGTATAATTCTTTTCTGTGAATCAGAAGAAAATATATTTGGTTGGCCCAGGACTTCGTGTCGTTTAAGTATTCCAAATAGTATCATATCATTCCTTTTTTAAGCGAAGGACCGAAACACTGCCCGAACGTTAGGACATTCTCCTGAAAAACAAAGAAAAATGTATTACCTATCAATATCACTGAATTTTACATCTTAAAACCCATTTGTTTAAATACAAGAAAGACCGGCACGAACTTGTGGGACAACTCGATACACATTTATCGAATAATTCTGATACTATCAAGAAGTCTTATTCGGAAGTAATTGTAAACGAAAGTTTATGCTTCTAAGAGCGGTAATAAAAGTTCTCGAAGAAAACATCTGTGCGTCGCACGTTTCACCGGATTCATGATCGAAAAGGATCTTTTAACTGGTTGAGCTCCTTTCGATGAACTTGATGACTGATCCTTGCTCACTCGCTAGCCGCGGGAGAGAAGTGAATTTCTCGCGTGAAAGACCTCAGCGATGGCGAGTCGAAAGGCAGGTTCCGTTGTGGCCGACTGACCTCCTTATTTCTATCATGAATCCAAAGAGTATCGGAAACTCTCCTCTGCGTACAGTTTCTCGATCGGATTCGATGATGTCGCTACGGGAAGTCGCACCTTGAGGAGCGCGATTCCAATTAGGCGTCGCGACGCTTTGCAGCAGATTCTTCGTTTACTCGTCTCGACGCTTCCAATTGGGAGACATGCCGGAACTGAAAGTGAGAAAACGAGTAAAACGATTTCGAAACCCGGTTCACGTACAGTCTTATGACCTTAGATAATTTGCTTGGCATAAAACCGTGAAATGGCGACTGTCATTGTGAGAATTTTAACGAAACAATGACTCTATGACGTTCCTTGCGTATGAGGATTCTAAATAACGAATAGTTTATTAATATGGGAGTGATATGCAGATCGACGGGTTTTATCATTTCTCATTTGAATGGAACCTTCTACAAATTTTAATTTTGTACCGTAGATGCACGTTTATTAAGATTTTATTCTGATGCAGAGGAATAATTGCATGGTTGTAAAATAAGTACACATGTAATGTTGAAGTCTTCCCTTGCAATTCTTGACCTTTTGCATCATTTTCTAGAAGCAGCATGAGTGCTCGAAGGAATTCCCAAGCTCGCAGGACAAGAAAGAAATTACCTTGGAAGAGGAAGAAAAAATGAGGAGATTACTTCCGTATCAAGACGCTCCTGAGTATCTTCAATTCAATCCTTATATTCGTAATGGCTACCGGGGATACCTGTCAACGAAATTATGCATAGAAAGGTTTGTCCTGACATTTATTTACTCTTTTTTTCCTCTTCATTTAGGACAATATCACTTTTGGTGATAATAAAATTAAATATATTTATCAAGCTAATGTAAATTGTAGTATTTTCTGGTGGACCAACGAAACAATTAACATCTGGAGTCATATTTTCGGATGGATGTTGTTCCTCGGATTGACATTGTACGATCTTTGCTTGTTGAACATCCACGCACCTTTTGGGGACAAAATGCTCGTTGCACTCCTGCTAATCTGCTTCCAAGTGAGGAATAATTAAAGTAAACATTATTTTACCGTGATATTAGAGTTTAATTATAAAACCTCATGTGTGATTACATTTTAGGCGTGCATGATCCTGTCTTCTTTATATCACACGTTCTCTTGCCGAAGCGAGAAGGACTATTGGTGCTACTTGTCGTTCGACTTGTTCGGCATTGCTCTCAGTCTTCTAGCGATTTACATGTCCGGAGTTTATTATGCCTTCTGGTGTCATAAAGTGAGTACCTTGCTCAACAATTACCAGCAATTGCTATTTAACTTTTCCCTGCCCCCAGCATAATGGGTCAATATTATTATACAATAAAAACTGTTGAATAAAAAATGTAGACCACGATCGGAATAGCAAAGTCTAATTGTATCAAAGATCCAAACTTACGTTAAATTTGGACTACATCATTAATACATGATAGAAACAATGGAGAATACTAAGAAAATTATCATTCTCTTTTCAGGAGCTTCAGCAGTTCTACTTGATAACCGTGCTGCTGATATTCATAATAGCAATGATACTCCAAATTCCGAAATTGAACGTCAACGGGAACGTTAAATTAATCGTTTTCGTTAGTTGGGCAGCATACGGAGTTCTGCCTACACTTCACTGGACTCTTGCCATGGGTGGGTTTGAAAACCCAATGGTTAGACTGTTACTTCCCAGAGTGTTGGGGATGTACGCCATCAGTGGCGGAGCTTTCCTCATTTACCTGAGCAAAATTCCGGAACGCTTCTTCCCAGGTAGTTCAATCACCGTGAAGTAGTCCTTACTATTATAAGACGTTTTATTAATTCAAAAAAATTCTGGTTTAAGGTTTAGTGGACTACGTTGGCTCCTCCCATCAGTGGTGGCATGCACTAGTTGTTCTAGCTCTCTATTATTGGCACAACACCGGTATGCTCTACGTGGAGTACAGGATGAACCATGGGTGTCCAAGCAATATGAGATTGTAAAAGATAAACGTCCAATGTTCTATCAGGTGATCGAGGAATCCATTTCTCCTGGACTGGCCATCTACTTTTTCTTAATTGGATATTCCGAATTTAATGTTGTAGTTCCTCGACCCAAGGTAATTTGAGCCTTGTAGGAGGAGTTTGATCATGGCACAATGGTGGCTCCTGGTAGCGTAGGGAATCACCGATATATCGACAGAATTCTCACCGGAGACAGAATTCAGTGAAACTGTCGTCAAGCAGTCGAAAACCTCCAACGTTTTTCTACGACATTATGACCGAAATGGGAAGTCGTCGAGAGTCGCTGCGAGGCCTCTTACTTTCTACCTATTTGATAGAAAGTAACAGGGTCATGTTAAGAAGAGGGGGAAAGAGGAATCCTCGATCCAGCCACTCCATCTGGAAGCTTTGCGTTCTAAAAAACAAAGCGGCCTTTGGATCTTTTCGGTCTCATTCCGTGACTTTGCCTGGGGCACGGTTCTACCTTTGCACTGCCCTAGAAAGTAGGTTTCCTGGACTAGGTGGAACAAAAAGAGATTCTGTGAGATCGTTACCTGGTGGGTAGAAAAATTCCTCAACCAGTGCCCGAGGTACGGTTGTTGCGATTTAGGTCGTTTACCGCTTCTGCGACCAGTCATCGGCATAGCTGAGGAATGGAAGGAAGTTTTAATGTAACTCGTTTCTAGGTCTCTTTTGTAACGCTTGTAAAGCTATATTAAAGTTATTCGTTCCACACCTCGTTTTCGTGTGCGCTATCCAAGCGGATGATCTGTATGTGTAGATTTCCTCGTACATAAACGGGCGATACATGAAGGATGAAAGCTGCTCCCGATAAACTTTTTCGCAGCGTTTGAAGAGGGGATTTGTTTTTGTTATTGATATGCGTAACAGTATTTTATTTTATAATAGATTCATTTTGTTTTATAGAATTTTTGTGAAATGTACGTATGCGCATGTTAAGCATCCACGTTAAGTTGCGTTTAAAAATTATACAATATTGATATTCTGTTACAATTTTATCAAATGTTCAGAACTCTTAACTTTATTCTAGAAGGATTGAAATCGTTGACTGGAAAAACTTGTAAGAACGAGGAATTACGATTAGACATTTAACAGTTTCCATCGTTACCAACAGAGGCTACGCGTTCACCACAAACTTTGCTCGAAAGCGGTAGATGGCACGGACGTGCTCGAGCCTGAAATTCAAATAAATCGAACACGCAAATTATCCCAGCCGTAACATGACCCATCTAGCGGTTGAAATCATCGTCCTCACTTTGGTGGCAAAAACCTTAATGATACGACATACAGCGTATGCCATTCCGTACAATTATCAATGGCGTACGACACCGCTCTCAATACAGATACGAACGTCAATAACGTTTCGGATGGTAAATCGGTTAATAGAATTGGACTTTACAGATAAAAATTAAGATTCACGGCGTCTTTCGCATCACCTTAAGGGTGTGCAGTATGGGCAGTACGTGGAGAAATGCAATTCTGTGAAGCTTCCGTGGTTCTCGAAACTGCTAAAAAAATCAACCTCCCGAGGCCATGAAAGAGGTTATCGCTGCCGCCCTTTGCGAGAACGCGACTCGATCGGTAAAGTTTTAGCCGCACCCGAAGTGCTAGAATTACGAGACCGGCGAGTACTCTAGCGGGATGATGGGTCGCCCCTTCGGGAGAAGAAGGCAAGACGCTGCAGAAGAACGAAAGCCGATGCGAGAGAAAGCGGAGAAGGCGAGAGGGGCGAGAGCACCTCCGCCGAGAATGTGAAGTAGGGTGATATTGCCGAGGTCTCTAAGCGGTGGGATTAAGTGCTACGTAAATTCTTCCGCCCTGCTCGCTTTCCCGGATAAAGAATCGCTGCTTGGTTAAATGCATCGCCCTTGAGCAAGAAAGCGTTGTCGAGTACCGGAAAGCAAAGAGAGGCGAAGCCCTCCTCTCTCTGGATGAACTTCGATATTTAACGGTGGGTAAACCAGGACTAATCATTAATGGAAATTCATTTTCAGGTTAGGAACGATTGTCACTGGGCAGAAGCTGACTGTTCCATGTTTCGACTTTAAATTATCAAATCATAATTATCCTAGTTATGTAGGAGTTCAATTATGTATGGATAAGAATAAATGTTTATGGACCAAGTATCTTCTTTTTCGTTTCTATTGGACACGTGAGAAGAGGACAAGAACTTTCGACGTCCGACCTCGGTGAAGATGGAGGAGCGATATTCGTTACCTATTAAAATGGCTACGAGGCGAAAACCTCTATAACCGATGTGAAATAAGCTGTAAATAATTCGATCGGCAAATGCGCTTGTCGTGCGTATAACTTCGAATGGTGGCGCGAAGAGGTAACGATACTCGTTGAGACTACGTGAAAACAATGGCGGTGCTTAAAGGGTCTACTCGCGCGACTTCACGAACGATCAATCGCGCTGTTAAGGCTTCGAATAAAATTGTTATTATCGCTCGTTCATTTCACCTGTATACCGCGTCGAGCTATCCTTCTTTACAAGGAGAAGACCTTGGCAGTTTATTTTCTACCTCTGAAATTATCCATTTCTCTTCTTCGAGTGACGTAACTTTTTCGTGTATTTTCACAAAGATTAAATACGTTTAACAAATACTCCCTTTAGTTACCCCGGGTTCAACCAGCTGTAAACCAATTAAAATCCGGTTAACTTGAATTGCGGAACCGGACCTAAGTCTCATAGGCAACGAAGTGCACGTTAAACAGACTGAATGATTCATCGATTCTTCACTCTTACCTTTACGGTGCGGAAGCACAGGCAGGGAAAGCGACATTTTCAGCTCCATTCGACGGATGTAATTGCTGCCCTAGATCAGACGAGGTCGTCGACGAAAGCCAATCCTTTAATCGCCTGACATGAAATATTATATCGCGCATAATCGCTACGATTGCTGCCAAATCCAGGCCCTAATCCCTTAACCGTAAAGGCGGTTTTATACGTACTTACTCGACTGTACGCCACTGTTCACCGCGCTTAAACCCGAAGAAGTACCCACTTCGTCGTGTTCCGAAGGGCGAACCTCGAGAACGATCCAGATAATCGTGGTAAGACTTCCGCCGATAGATTCTGATTGGTAAACTTTGCGACGATCTCGTGCTACTCCAAAGCTACAAATATTTCAGACTCAAGCACCATTATCACGATCTTCTTCATTCTAAACCCTTAACAAGAGACACGCCTATTTTAGAATAAAATTAGGACCTGATAACGAGAAATCGAAGAAACATTCGTTATGATCCGTTCCTCTGCTCGTCGTGAAAACATCGGCGCTCATTTCCATAGAAGTTTGATATAATTTTAATAATCAAAGTATGTATGTGTATATTGTGGAAACTCCCGGCGGACAAATAGGATTAGAAATATCCGAAGTCCGGTGTTCATAACGTCTTCCGGCACGTCCGGAGGTTGGATATCCTCGGGTCAAGGCTCCGATTCGGAATCGGTCAGACAGTGCATCGAGACGAACTCGAAATGGATCGAGCGGATGCGCGGGGCAGGTCGAGGGTAAGGCGCGACGAAACCCAATGAGACGAGTCAAGACGAGATGAGACGAGATGAGACGAGATGAGACGAGACGAGATGAGACCAGGTGGGATGAGGTAGCGCGTGCGCGGCCCGACTCAATAAACATCTGGAGGAGCCCCGGTAAGCCCTGGGCCGCGCTCAGGATTACCGGCGCTACTTTCCTTTATTTTCCGGATGCGACGCTCCGTCCCTGCTCCGTGGTTCTTCCCTCGGCCAGCCGAGGGTAGATGGAACTTGTCACCCTCTACGTGCATACCCTCTCTTCCTATCTCCTCCCCCTCCCTCGATTTATCCCTCGACCCTTCCGACAGAAATAGAAACAATCCGCGCCCTAAACGCGGGACCCTAACGAACCATCCTTGGTCCCAGGCCTTGATTTAATACGTTAATTGGGGACTTTACCGGATAATCATGGGATCCGGAAATGTTACCCTGGAAGTTAACCGTATCTAGGTAACGAACGGTCAAAGATGAGTCTTTTACGTCTTGGAAAACCTTCCGAGTCAAGATTTTCATCCTACTTGGAACAACTAATTGTAGATCATAAATGGGTTCTCAGATAAGAAGGGTAACTTCTATACAATCGAGGTTCTACATTGGACCTTAAATTATCAGATATCTCCATCTCTTCTACTTGTATACCTGCAGTAGGACCAAAAGAGGTGAACTCCGGATATACGCTAAGGAATAGCGAAAGAAGACAGAAGAATCGATGGTGGAATTCTGTCATATCAGGGACCTAACCACAAATGTCCCATTGTTCTTGTACGTCGGAAAGACGCTATTCGGCGCCTCGAGTCATGTTTTAGCTTTCTTAATTCTGCTCCGTGAGACCCAAAGTCCAATTATCGCGCGATTCTATTGCGAAAATCTGCATAAGAGCAGGGAGTCGAAGGCCTACTCTTTATTTCTCGCTTTGTCGCATCGTTTTGGTGGGTAGATTCTTCGGAAGTGCCGTGAGGGTCGAAACGGGGTTGATAGAGTCGACACCTTGCGACGCGCCGTGGAGGCAGAGGCGCCGAAGAAGTGCTGCGTAAACACGGGCGTCGCACTAATTGAAACCACCCTGACAAACAGAATATTACGCGGGTTTATTTCACCTCTGGATGTCGTGTCGGTTACGACTACGGTAACATACGTGCCGACCTATCGCCGACAATAATCTCGCATATCGTGTGCGAGCGTTATCGTCGTGCAAACAACCCTCTCGAGCGGCCCGTGAGCTGATTCTCGCTCGCTTCCACGCATGCGGGCTGCAGTGCCGTCTTAAGGTGATGCGAAAGTGGTCTTTCGGGCGTCAAATTATTTGTAAAACTTTTCTCCGAACTCGGTACGCCGAATTGTTTCAAACTTAACCACATGAATGTGGAGGCCCTAAGGAAGGTCCTGACTCCCAGGACATTTTTTCTTTGAATCAACCATTTTTTAATTTAACTCAGGCTGGACTCAAGATGGACGCAACACGTATTTTTAGACTGAAAATTTTGTTCAAAATTATTCAGTAGTTTAAGAATGACAAATGTACCATTTTTTAAGTAATTTGTATACGATGTCTTCCTCTAATACCCTGGTCGAACAAGGGTGGCGCTGACATGCATGCACTTTCAATTTATTAGCTGTAATGTAGCTGGTATATAGCAATCTCGTATCCACATTATACATATGGGTGGAAAAAACTTATGACTAACGGTTGTCTCACACTCTTACAAATTTCTTTTCTTTGTGTGCAAAGTACTTTGATCATTGATAAATCGAGTAAGCAGTATTCAAGTGTCATTGGACACAGTCCTTGGCAACTTTAACGTCTCATCGTAATGCTTAAAACGCGAACATTTGAACTTGTTTGAAACGTTCCTTTCCGCGTTTTACGTCTCAAGTTTTTACGGTCGGTTACGAATGCTGCCCTTGTATTTGTAACATCACGTCTTGAAGGGCCAGTTGCCGTTTATAAGTTGTCGAGATGCTCTTTTGTCCAACGAGCGTTTTCAGTTCTTAGCATAACCCTGGTTGTTAATTCAGCCAATGAAATAAGTTGACCGCTATTTTGATTAAAGAGTAAGAAATTTGAAACGACACGGTTCACTAAATATTGTTTATTCCAGAGCGATATACACCTTGCTTATATCGAGAGGTACCACGTTTAAACATCAATTATTTCGAGAACGCTAACGATCGGTCCACGGTGAGCCAGCATGCCCTAGACCTCGCCACATCAACCCCTCCGCTTAAACCTCCTGGCCCTCCGGGCGACTTCCTGGCAACGACGGACATTCATTCTTAACGTAATTGTGTAAATCCGAGCGAATCGGCAGGCGAAGTTGGCCGCTCTCGAGTCCTCTTCTCCATCAGTTCGGTTCCTTCGAGAGGCCTCCCCCGGAGACCTACCCTTCCTCGGTAACCCTTCCCGGGCGCCTCTTGGTTTCCAGAGAATTAGACGGAGGAAACGCGTAGCCGAGCTCTCTAATTCTCCGGCGCGGTGCTCCGTTCCAGCGTGCTACTCGGCGCTGGAGCCTCCATTAAATTCATTAGGCCATTAGTGGCTGCAACCCTCCAAGATGGCTCCCGTCGCCTGGCAACGGGGCTTCCTGGGCGAACGGGTGGGTCTTGGCGTGTAATTAGATTCAACGAGCGAGAAGGGAAGGCGGAAGGTGGGTGGCGGCGGGTGGCTCTCGGCCGGAGGAAACGGAGGGTGCCGCTGCCGTGCCTTCACCGACGCCACCACCACCCGATTCGCGCGAACCCTTGTACACCCCCGTGTACGCGTGTGGGGTTGCACGGACTCACCAATACCTTCACTGGACCACGAGACCCCGGTCCTGGCGCGTAGATGAGACGCGTCACCGAATGTGTTCCCTCCTCGGCGGCGGGTGCGCTTATGGGCTCCGATGTGGTTGCGATCGTATATATACGAGCTCGTATACATGCGGGCGCCTCTCGCGTACACGTGCACCAAAGGCCGCGCTCGTACGTACACGTGCACCAAAGGCCGCGCTCGTACGTACACGCTCGCCATAGGCGCGCGTACGTATGCGGGCCTGTACGATCGCGCTCGTATATATACTCGGTCGCCGGCGCGCTCGTCCACCCTCGCGTGCGCGCGCAGGTTGGCGCCACAGGGGCTGGCTTAGCGTCCTCCGTCGGGAAGGATACCTCGAAGAGTGGATCCCGCTATCTGGAGCTGCGAAGATAATTGCCGGACGGTCTCCGGGTCACCCGAGTCAGGAGAGTCGAGGGCGTCGCGACGAAAAGATCGATGCGACTTCCTGGAGCAGCCTTGGGACCTCTCTTGGCGGCGGGATCCGTAATTGCGAGGGGTCTCCTCATTGAAACCTCTAATTATCGGAATTCTTATGGAGATCGGGGCGGAGCGACCTCTCGTAGCTCACCCTCGATCGGGGATTTGGAGCGAGCACTCGATTCGTTGCGTTTCCTATTCAATGAGAATTAGTACCGTTAAACGAAAGCTTCATTCGGTTTAACTACTTTCCGTTCCGGCGGGTGATAAGCTATTTTATGGGAATGTTAATAATAGAATGAGATGGTGATTTTCTTCGATATCTTATTTTCAGAAAATTATTGACTTTGGGGCTCTAAAAGGAATTCCTTGGAACGAGAGGAATCCGCTTGATCTAAAAGTAAGCTCCTCGCCCGTCGACCTGTGCTTCCAGGAAACATAGTTCCACGTACATGTATCGGCCATCAAATAGACCTTCCTTTGGAAGACACGGTTATGTCACACGAGCTGTAAAGACACTCAACTCCTGCAGTATCCGCTAACATTTACAGCATTTATATCACTCGAACGGACAAGCATCTACGGGGCAATGTCGCATGAAGCTTTTTGAGACGCGCATGAAACTTCCGAGCACGCGTTGCTGGGAATTAAGTGCAACTGATGTCAGAATTGAAGCTTGGGACAGGGCACTCAATATTTAGGTCGGATATGTTAGACGCATCCATTCTAATAAATATTCTACTTTCGGAAGGAAATTCCGAAACGTGGACTGCAGCCGTGGTTAAGGGAGCCATCTAAAGATGGCGGATACAGCTTGGTCAATTGTGGACGCATCGCTCAATGCTTCAAGATAGGCTTTACACATTCCACAAATTCCGATATAGTTCGGCGCTAAATCCCTCCCTACATACAGGTTATGTGCAGATAGCTTCGGCATATTCCTGCTATAGATCGGCAATATCACGTCGCCCACCTGACCACCCTCGACACAAATTTCAATACCGCGTACACTAGGTCGCTTATCGTTGCATTGCAAATGTGTCAAGCAATGCGATTGCTATTTTTCTGTCCATAGTACAATGGAAAGGATGGCACTAGTAATGCAATTAATGTATCGGTGATTCTACGACAGTGGTTAACCCGTTTAGTGTCAGCCGAAGTTGTTAGCACTTGTAAAACAACGATATATCGGCAACGGAAGTATTTAGAAAAACCTGTTTTACCGACATCGATCAAGTTCCTCGACGTGTTTCACATCACCTTAAGAGGAACTCGGGCGTTGTTCGAACATCGTTGAGCTTCATAGAAAGTTAAATTTTCTACATTTCGATCCATAGTTCTGCTAGGGAACGATGTAGATAAGTATTCTGCCTGTTCTCCGTTTATTTCGAGAATATCTCGATTCGATCGTAACGGCTCCTATCGTTTGGTGCCTCCCACACATTCCGAGGTGCACGCGTGGTCGGCATTTTTCGGGGATGGTGAGTAAAAGAGGATTCTTAAAATACTCGGCGAGCTTCTAAATCATGGAGGCTTAACCACCGTCGTGCGAGCTGGGATTATCTACCTTACTTCAAAGCACTGTGCAGGTGCACTCCTTCTGTTTTGAGTTCTCCTCGGACGGAACGTTGAATCATGTGCCAGTTGCAGCTGGAAATCCCGAGCGTGTACGTCGATCGTCGCTCTGCTCTTCGTGGAAGGCATCATTTTTCCTAATGATGTGTCCCACTCGGAAAGGGCTGTCCCCGCAGTCGCACGATTACTTGATAAACCGTTTTACGTCTTTCACGCCGTGAAATGGTAGGCGTAAACTGCGGACACCGCGGATTCAAGACTGAAAAGTCGTTTCCGCTCCAGTGGGATAACTCCTTGTAATCTCTGGAAGTTTACCGCCGAGTTCTTGAATTAGTTAGAGGCCGCGGCGAATTCGCAAGACGGATCAATGAATTCTACATGTTAACGATTTTTAGGCGACCAAAGGCTGAGGACAACGTCCTTGCTTTGATATGACCGAGGTGTTCTACCCGGCTAGTTTGTCGGGCAGCTGTTGTATGAACCCGATTGTTTTTGTAAACAGAATTGCAAAATGGGATCTTGTTAACTGGCTCGACCGGCCCAAGCAGGCAATAAGTCCCTTTCTGGAATTTTGCCACAAAACACAAGGAATTGGTTAGCTTTAAACGATCACTGCAGAACCTTCTATATCCCTCAAGCATAGCTAAGGTGACCAGAATTTGTAAACGCCACAGGAGGATGAGTACTAAGGAAAAACTGCGGCAGGCGAAAGTTTTCAAGATCCCAGAGTTAATCTATTTCAATGTAAAGTAGAAAATCCTAAATCGTCAATTGCAAGATCGAAAACTAAGCTTCCGTAATTGGTGATTAATTTTTTCGTTCGATAAATTAACCATCTAAGATTTTCAATTGTACTTTTAATAGAAACAAATTTAAAGTGTCTGGAAAAATGTCAGATAAGTTGCACGTATAAAGACTCGTTCAACCGAAACAGGGAAAACGTCTTCGTCATCTTAGGAGGACACAGAAGGACGTCATTCTTAAGGACAGTGTTTGTATTAGGACCTCGGAAGACCTCTGGTTACCTCATGACAGTGTAAATTAATAGCTTGCTCTTCAACTTCACTCAATCTAAACAAAGAATTTCATTCGAACGTCAGACCATCAAGGTAGCGAAAATGGATAGCGAGTCATCGTTCGGGTTATAGTAGCTCACTATTGCAGATTGGCCTCCGCGAACCTCCTCCTGGCAAACGAAGTATAAAGGAGGAATTCGGCAGATTCTCTAAGCCGCGGCCTAAGCCCTCAATTTCACTAGAGTGAAAGCCCAAGCGAAAGCGTGATAAAATGGCTCCTTATTCTCGCGTTTATATTCAATCTCGCGCGACTTCGTAGCCACAAAGGGCTCCATCTGAAATACGTTAGTCGATGCCGTATATGCAGGATAGACACGCGGAGGGGAGAAAATCGCGGCAATGCATTATGTAGTACCTTGCTGATCCTTATATGCATCTATGCATGGGGTTGATGCATACCAACTTTACGGGTCCCTCCTGCGCCAACACGTACGGAGGACGCGCCTCGTTAACATATGCGCGTTAGAAACGGAAGACTCTTATAATGCGGACATTATCATATTTTAAAAACTCTTCGCCTGGCATTGGTCCCACCTTGTCCAAAAAATCGGTGCTTGGCCAACGCACGCGTTCGAAGTGAAACTCTTACTTAGTAAGTAAGTAAGAGAATTATTGGACATTATTCATTTTTTTAATTATTCTTTCACGAAATCCCTCTCGGTGTAATCATTTTTAGTTTTTATTTCTATTACTTTTGTTCCAGTTTAAATGTCAATAATTAACCGAGAGGTAATTGGCTGCGAAAAAAGTTTCGTTTTCTGCAACGGACCTCTTTTAAAACGAGCGAATTTTCACGTACCATCGTTCTACAAGAAGTTTCATTTTACAAAACCAGGTAAAGTTAATGATTTATATTCACCGTGATATATCAAACGATTTTTCTTACCGAAATTTTCCAAGACATCTCATAGGTCCAATGTCTTCTCGACGTCATTTAGCAGAATGTCAGAGAAAGTAAGAAATTATTTCGTGAATTGATATTTCATTTTTGGGGAAATTTTGAAGACTTCCGGAGGTAGCGTGGGGCTCTCTTTGATGCTAACGAAGAAAATGAAGAAAAAATACGTGTCAGGTAGTTTCGGCCATCCTTACCTGGATCTCATCCAGGATCGCGAGTTAATGAATTAGCACGGCCCCCGAAAAGTGTCGGCCCTCCGAGAAAGTGGCCGCGCCGGCTCCGACTTTATCCCCGGGTGCATGCGGAAGCACGACCGCGCTCTGCACTCTCGCTGATTGCCATTTGCATAGACAATCGGCCTCGCTGCATTCGAACAATCAGCAACGGGTTAGGTACGTGTCAGAGAGGAGCGAATAAAGAGCATTGCGAAACGCATATACGCGGATCTGCCATCTGCGCTCGCGCACATAGAATCCACGTAACCGTTACCGACGAGATCATAAACTATGCAGGTGCTCGCCCTGCCGAGGTAATCGTAAAGCGACGCAAGGATAACTGTCCGAGAGGTGGCGGATTACTTTAATAAACGAACTGCCTGGGCCACCCTACTATATCGAGAATTCCTCCAATTGCGCGGAAGATATATCCCTGTGTCCCTCGTAACGCGCCACGAACGCTCTGATGAAGATGGCTGCGCAGAAGACCCCAGAGAAGATGAATTATTGGAAGATAATCCGGGAAGATTCGATAATTAGAAGCGTAACGATGCAAGAGTGACACTAGGGAGACCGTGTCTATTTTCTGCAAAACGGCAAGCGAAAATAGCGAGGGCACATTCAGGGCATAAAATGATTTAAATAGGCTAATAAAAAGGAGATGAGGAAGATGACGCACTTTATGCGAGTGAACATTATTTATTAAATCCATAAATCTAAATAACTCATGCGATCCAATTATCTCTTCAATTCCTTTGTTGTTTTCAGTCGCATTTATGCACGTTTCTACACAATTTGGTAAGAATTATCCCTATTGTGAAGAAAGTTACTTTACAGAGTAACAAAAGTGGAATTTAAGTAAGTTAACGGACTGATATAAAATGAAGCAATTACAAAATGTACCCAGAGGGTTTACTCGATCGATGACATTTTCGCTCAAGTTTTCAAGTTTACCAGGAGACTCGTAAAAAATGACCAAGCTCAAAATGTATGAACTAGCCTCGATCTTCCCT